GTATCAAACAGGTGGACAACACAGGAAGCTGACAGAGCTGGTTCTGTGTCAACACCGCCACGGCGAGGGGCACTCGGCGCAGCAGAGGAGTGACAGTGCCCACGGGAGCGATTACCTAAGGACTGAGAGCGATTTCAGATGCAAAGTGTAGCATATCGAAAGTGTCCCGTAGATGTTAGCTGTCGCTTTTATTATGTCCCCAGTGCTAAAATAATATCTGGCATATGAGAGACACTCAAGGAATTTCTTTTGAGATAATACGTTGTAGTTATAGCATTAACAGTTAGAACCATCTAGACTTTTGCTTCTCTAGTAACTCCATTCACAATATGGGAATCATCACGTATGTCGTTTTATGATTGCTCGATCTACTGACTATTAAATTTTTTAAAGCATATAATTTGTGTATTCACTGGAGAAATGCAAAATCAAACATGACCTCTTAGAGTCTCCCCCATACTCCTGTTCAGCAGGGACTAACGGTTTCTCCTGCTGTGGCATCGTGGGCTGAACTCAGACGCCTGAGACGGGGGCTGATGCAATTGGAGCCGAGTCAGGTGTCTGTCCAGATGCATAATCTCAGAGCTCAGAGACCACTCCACTCTCACAGTGGGTGCCCAAATCAGTTTAATCAACAAGAGAGAGGAAAGAATAAATCAGCCATCAACTGAAATTTCACACTGATTGTTTCTCATGAGTTCTGCACTGTTACTGTATACTCTAGATTTTTCTCAGCAAATGCAGAAACACATAAATAACATCTGAGTTACATGGTTACCTTTAAGAGGCTTTTGCCCCAACTGTAACTAGGAAACCAACATAAAATAAAAAAGGCAATGATCCATATTTTTTTCTGAAATGCGCAATAAGTTACTTTAGATCATGTGAAGAAACCAAGGAAGACAGGGGTTGAGCTAACTGTTTTTGGAGGCAACTGGCTGTTGCTTTGCAGAGATCAGCGCTCAGTGGACTCACGCACCGCAGAGTCCAGCCACAGATGGTGGGAGCCGCCTTTCCAGCAGGCGCCCTGGAAAACTCACTGCTCACCGGCGTGTTCACCCGGCACTTTTTCAGAAATTTTATTAGTGAACAGAATTTATGGTGTGATTATCTGGCCGCAAAATACTGTTTGTGTTCTAGCCAAGGACATACTGTATCTATAGAAACAGCTCTGGAAAATTCTTGAAAGGTCCCTTTTGAGGATTTTATGTCATATTTGAAGACTCATCATAAGCAAAATAGACCTGATTAAATCAACAGCCTCTTAAGATTTGCTGAGCATATTGTAAAATATCAAAACTATTACCGCACAGTCTGAGGACTATGTCATATTTGAAGACTCATCATAAGCAAAATAGACCTGATTAAATCAACAGCCTCTTAAAATTTGCTGAGCATATTGTAAAATATCAAAACTATTACCGCACAGTCTGAGGACACCCCGTGTTTGTCTGTGTAAACGTCCCGCATGACGAAGGCTGGCGACCTGTGCACTTGTGCCTGGTGAATCTGGCTCCATTTGGGGATTCAAGCTCGTGGCATGACCGCAGTTACACTTTCTTTTAATAAAGGTCCTATCGAGGGCAGAGACCTTTAAACAGTCTAATGACAGCCTTCGAGAATGGAAAGCTAAACGGAAACACAGTTCGTGTGTGTGGAGGTCGCCTCCCCTCGCTGAGGCGTCCCAGGGCCTCGATCTTCTGCTGGAATCCGCCCTGGCCACACTAGGCTGCATCTGAGAGAAGCGAAGGGAAGACATTTCTGCTGTGCGGCTCCTTCTGGGGCGAGATAAGCCGTTCCTCCCGGAGGGACCTCAGTCTCTCCCGTGAGAGGAGAGCACTGGGGACTGGTCGACATAAGCAAGTCCTGTGTCACCACAACACCAAAGCTTTGGACCCCGGGAGGCGCACATGTGCGCGACCTCAGAAAGGAGCCTCACACGTCTCAACGGTGTTGTGGAAAAATGTCAGTGACACCTTAGGAAGTGCTAAAGGGCACTAGAAGAAGGGAACTGTTAGCGAAACTAAAAATTGGAGACCCAGAATTACGATGGTGGAAATAAGAAAACAGAGAGGGAGAAACTGCTCAGAGGAGCATGGAGAAGCACACGTCCTGCCCCAATGCCCCATGCTGTCCCCGGTCCAGAGCTGTCCCCTGCTTCCGGCTCAGACGCTCAGGCTCTGTACCCCTCCCGAACAAACTCCTGCACGTGGAAAGAGTCTCCCCCACACCTCGTTGTCCAATATTAGCCTAGAAACATGATGCCAACTTCAATTTACTTCTATGAACTTAAAGTTTTATACCCATGAAACAGCTTTTTATTTTTAGAATGCTACCTTTATAAGGATGGTAGAATGTCCATTAAAAAATCAGTTTATTTCCCAAACTAGTCAGTGACTTCTAAAGTGTCGGAAAGTTTGTTTGAATTATCTGACAGCCAATGAGAATTCAGATCATAACAAACAGCCACCAGCTATTTTTAAAAAAATCTTAAATGATCTTCTCGTCCCACGTGGGCTACTTGATTTCAGTATGATGATGCCTGAAGCATTTTTACAAGAGCAGTAATAAACCATATTCATTTTTATAGGAGCCTTAGATTCGTCTGCATTGCAGGAAATCACACACTGCATATGTAAGTTTCTTTGGCTAGCTCGCCTCCATTAAGAGCTCTGCACTAATATTTAGAGAGTTACTGTTCACCTCACAACAGGTACAGAATCCTGAGAAGCTTTTGAAAAACAGAAATATCTGAAAGCGTTTATTTGACCAACCCTCATCCACTGCCTGCCCACAGCTACTGCCATGGAGAGAGACCCCCTGACACCAGCAGCCCTGCCACGGCTCCAGTCACTTCTGCTCCACTCCAGTTCCTCTATGCCCCGCTCGGTCATCTGCACACTTGCAAGGACAGCTGCTGGCCTACATCTTCCCCACGGGCTCAGTCTTGCTGCATTTGGTGCTGGGGAGAGTGCTGGCCAGCTGGTGGTTGCTCTGCTGGATGTTATTGAAGCTACTGAGGAACTCTGAGTCCCTTTTCTGAACATGCAACCTGCTCTTGGAACATTATGTTTTCCCAGACACACCCAGTTTGTAAAGAATTGCATAAAGTTGTTTTTCAATAGCAGCCAATACCTTGAGTTCTTTAGGAATTACTGCAAGTATTGATAATGTGCCCATACATCACCCTAGCAGTTAACTATTA